ATCAATTACTTACTACTCTGTTTAGTGAATTTTAGGTAGAAGTCTTTTTCACACAGGCAAGCACATCTATTTGGACCTTACACCTTCCGGAAACAATTTACAATACACGGTGCTGTTTGTTCTAATTGACACTAGGTGGCGCTCCTAACTAACCAATGCTTATCTTAGCGGCAGGTATGTTCCTTGTCTCCAGGCCTTTATGTAATTATTAGCATCTCATTATACAGTTTTCTGTATAATGAGGGACAGTTTTCTGTCCCTTTTGGTGAACAGAAATTACTATCCCCAGTCGATGGATAGTGATCCGGGAGCTCCTGGTAGCCCTAACACTGCAGGAAGTCCACAGGGAGGAAAGAACATGAGAGGAATAAACAGTGACTTGGACTCTGGTCTAAGTGGTGCAGAGAAATCATGCTGGATGATGCTTTCATTTGGGAAGAATTCATCAACGCCTTCAGAAGGCCAACACTGGACTGGGCTCAGGGAATAAGAGAGTAAGGAGGACAGGCTCTTTTCCTTATGGTGGAAAGATTTGGTCAAATTAACTATGAAAACATGGGTCATGGTGCTCGTGCAAAAGAGGTGAGAATGGTCCTTAAAGAGGTGAATAGTCGATTTCGATTTCGCCAGGGGAGGAAGGAGGAGGTTAGGAATCTTACAAGGGCAACTTTTAAAATATTCAAATACTTCTTTTTATCTTCAAAGTTCAGTAACCCCAGAGGGAAGGAAGACAACTCTTGTGCAGAGATGCAGACACTGGAATTGGCTCTTCTAGTCCCTAGTAGGGAAGAAAATTACGAGATTCCTGGTTAAGTATATCAGTTATGACCATGATGATAGTCCTAATAAGAGTAATAATAAATTTATTAAGCACTGTGTATTGAAAGGATCAGTGACTTTGCCGATGCGCCTAAGATTAACCCAACACCTGGACTGTACTACAAGAACCTCATGTAAAGCCCCCAAAGGACCCTGCACCGAAGTGTGGGTTCATCAAAGTCTGACGAAGACGCCCTCAAGATGCAGAACATTAATTGATTTTAAAGCACCCGATTGCTAACTAATAATTTTAAAGCGTGTTAAAGTATTGACTATAAAAGTTATTTTTTTAACCTTTGAAGTGTTCAGGGCTGGTTGAATTGTTGCAGGATAACCGTGTGATATTAATAAACAGGCTGACTTTGGCCTCCACCCTTTCACGCCCAAGGGAATTTTCGATACAGCGTGCTGTTTGCACAACTGACACTAGATGGCGCCCCAGATTAAAACGACGCCCGGCAGGACTACGGACTCGCCGGCCACCTGCCCAGCAAAGCCATCAATCATTAACCTTGGGTTGATGTTGTGTTACCCAGATTTCAAACCTCATTCCTATACAGTCTTCTGATAGTTAGAACTGATTATTACTTACAAGTGACGATGACAGTATTGAGAAGCAGTGAGACGGAGTAAGGGCCCAGAACATTCGAGTAGGGATGCCATCTGCCAGGACCTCTGGGGTCAGTACTCCTTTATAAAGAGATATACAATGTCCTGGACAAGAAACCCATTGCCCTCAGACAATTACTAAGGGGGAGAAATACAGATAACTAGGCTCCCAGTACCTACAGTATAGAATAAAGAAGAAAACACATAGGAAGAGAATGGGCAGGAGTGCTTTAGGGCTCATGGCCCAGTGCAGAGCAGAGGCTCAGGGAGGAACAACCAGTGTAGCCAAACAAAGGCAAGGAAACAGTCTCAGAGAAGCCAGTCAACTGTGCCTTAAATGTGAGCAGCAAATCAGGCATAAGAACCCCAGCAACCCGGAGACACTGCATATGCTTTATCTTTTAAAAATTATTATTTTTGATAGTGAGATAACCACAGTATAGGCAATCTGTAGGAAAATATTGACCGGTTACCTGGTGGGAAATAGCATCCTCAAATCAGCAATATCATTGACAATATTATTATTATTATATGTTATATAATAATATTATTTTAGAATATATAACAATATAGTATATGGCATTTATTTTTTTTTATTTATTTATGATAGTCACAGAGAGAGAGAGAGAGAGGGGGCAGAGACACAGGCAGAGGGAGAAGCAGGCTCCATGCACCGGGAGCCCGATGTGGGATTCGATCCTGGATCTCCAGGATTGTGCCCTGGACCAAAGGCAGGCGCCAAACCGCTGCGCCACCCAGGGATCCCAGTATATGGCATTTATTATATAATATTAAATTAGAATATATAATAGTATATTATGTAATATATATTTTAAAGTATATCATCATTATCATCATCATAGTATAGCCTTGATTATATGCCAGACACTGTGGGGAGGGCTTCATTTATACATTTGCTTTTTGAAATTTAATTCTCAATATCATTTTATGAAATAGCTGCTGTTATTATATTTTTACGAAAGAGAAAGTTAAGACCTAGAGAGTTGAAGTGGCTTTACAATGTAACTTTGCCTTGTAGACTAATTATAATTCACGTGACTTTAAAGCCCACTCAGATGCTCATCAAGAATGATATATGATGGGGAAGTTTACAAAATCTCAGGTTGTACACCAAAGTGAACAAGCATGGACTCTGTCACTTTTCTTATCAGTCATGAAAAAATATATGGACAGTTTCTGTTGGAAGATATTAAATATCAAGGACACTTCCTCACTCAAAGTTTTTAGGGCTGCCAAAGGATAACAATTAACAGAAATAATCACTGCATTGACCTCCAGCTCTTCCCAGCTGAACTGGACCTTTACACTGTAATCTGTCACTAGTTCTGATGGCATTCGAAACCAAAATGTATTGCATACAGTTCATGTCTAATCTGCTGGGTAATTATTACCTTTACTGGTGTCTATATCTGTTAATAGCTCTAAGAGGTCATTTACATAAGGAATCAACTGGTGATCAGAAATTATTACCCACATATAAGATGTGGTTTCACATTGAGATTCAGAGAGGCTAGAAGTGATGCTGTACTGTAGTACAATAAAAATACTAGTAAACAGTATAGTAAAAGGACAGGAAAAAGCAGCCAGGTCTTTGGACTCACAGTTAGATAACATTTGCACTAAGAAATTGAATTGTCATTCCAGTTGTGGACCTTTACACCTTCACCTATTTCTCCTACTGATTATAATCCAGTAGAACTCCAGGACACTGCTACTTGGCTGTTTAATTTAATAGGGCATACCTTTTCAACTCCTTGATAGAGGAAAAGATAACTTTGAAAATGAAATGAGATCAGGTATACAGAAGGCTCATACAAGGTTCCTAGCAAATTCAGTTCATTCTACCACTATTACATTGCATTTTTTTTATTTAAAGGAACCATGATGCCTGGACACCTGTCAGTCTCTGATCCTTCTTCAAACCCTACCCTTTTACAGTTAAGGATTTTACAAAGAAGCATAAACCCTCAAAGATGAAGAGAATGGGAGATGAAACAACCCATGAGAGATGTAAACAGAATTTTGGAAGTCAGAGAGCAGATGGATGAATGCCTTGCCAGACCAGAGAAAGCTGTGTTCACCACCTGCAAGGTGACTAAACCAATAAGAAATAAATTCCCCACAATTGAAGCCTAGAAAAACATAAGTCTTTGAGACACCAAGTATCTCTGTAGTCAGGGTGGTGAGCTAGACCGGAAATAGGTAGATTGGCTAAAACCCTGAGAAAGAGGCACTTGGATGCCCGCATTACCTCCCTGCACCAACAGCCAGGCAACTGCTGGAACCCAGCTGGGCAGGAGACTGAGGGTTTTCCTTCGTTGATTTTCAGTCAGGGAGAGTCTGGACTCAGAGGCATCAGGCACAGCTGACTACAAAGGTGAACACAAAACTAAAAATAGGGCTTTGGAAGAGAATCTGCATCCTCACATTCTCCCAGCTCCTTCCTCTTTTGTCTCCTAGAATACCAATACCCAGGCTTGTGTCTCCTACTATATATGTCAACCAATTTTTTTAATCTAGTATCTACTGTGTGTAAAGCACTGAGTCAAGTGCCATAAATATTTAAGCTAATAGCTTTAGTTCATTTTAGTTTGTTGCTGTAACAAAGTACTGTGAGCTGGGTGATTGAGCCAACAGAAGTGTATTGTCCCTGATTCTGGAGGCTCCATATCTAGAACCAAGTTGTTGAAAGGGTTGGTTCTTTCTGAGGACTGAGAAACAGAATCTGCCCCTGGAGTCCCTCTTCTGGCAGCCGCAAGCATTCCTCGACTTGTAGATGGTCTTCTTCTCTCCAGGCATGGATGCCTCTGTCCCGATTTCCCTTGTTTTATAAGGACACCAGTCATATTGGTTTAGGGCCCACCCTAATGACCTCATTTTAACCTGATGACCTCTGTGAAGACCCTATCTCTGAGTAAGATTGCATTCACAGGTGCTAAGAATTAGGACTCAAACATAGCTTTTTAAAAATGTTTTTATTTTTTTTTTGGACTGGGCATGATTCAACCCATAATAATATCTATATCTATGAATCAAAGGCTTGGTAGAGCTTATATTCCAGTGGAAGAGACACTGAAAGTAATGTGAGTTATTTCGGCCTTAGCCATGGAATGAAAGGCAGAGACATTTTCTGAAATGGGAAATGCAAATTTGATCAGAGGAGAAGAAATTAAGAATTAAGAACTCTAGATAGATAGATAAAAGTAAGAACTCTAGTGTTTTTTAGCCACTCTGCCAATTTCTGTTTTTAATTTAGGTATTCAGACCATTTCTATTTAAGGTGATTTTTGACCTGTGATGGTTTAGGTCTGTGTTTATTATTTGTTTCCTCTTTTTTTTTTTTTTTTCCTCACCGTTCTGTGGGTTATTTTTATTTTATTTTTTTTATGGTAGTTAATTTTATTTGTTCAAGGCTCATATTGCAAGCATTAAACCAAGCATGGGCTTTGATTCTGTGAGCCCAGCTTCACATATTTAGGAAGATAAAAGCAAACCATGATCCATGTATATGGATGAAAAACTAAAGACTCACAGTTAATCACATTATGGTTTTAAATTTCTACAGCCTAGAAGCCAGAAGTCACAGATCTTTTAGGTCTTTCTGGATATCCCACAAGGTATCTGCACTTTTCTTGAGCTGGGCAACCTCATGATCCTTCAGCTTCTGATTGATCACACTGGTTAAACCCCGAGCGTTCAGGATACACGGAAGACTCAGGAAGACTTTGTTCTCAATACCATATATCCCCTTCACCATTGTTGACACTGGATGAATCCTGGAGAGATTTTTCAACATGGATTCAATGAGATCAGCCACGCTTAATCCAATAGCCCAGCTGGTATATCCTTTTAGCTTGATGACTTCATAGGCACTTTCAACCACCATCTTATGCACTTCCTTCCAATTTTCACTGTTGATGTCTGTTTCCATTTCTGGATTCAGTTCCTGAAGAGAAACACCTGCCACATTCACTTCACTCCACACAGCCAAACTTGAGTCGCCATGTTCTCCCAAAATCCATCCATGGCAGCTGCTGGGATGAATGCCAAGTTTTTCAGCCAAAAGATAGTGAAATCTAGCAGAATCCAGATTGCACCCACTTCCAATCACACGGTGCTTGGGTAGTCCACTTAGTTTCCAGGTAACATATGTAAGAATATCCACTGGGTTGGAAACACTTTTGTTTTGTTCTTTTTTAATTTTTTTTTTTATTTAGTTATGATAGTCACAGAGAGAGAGAGAGAGGCAGAGACACAGGCAGAGACACAGGCAGAGGGAGAAGCAGGCTCCATGCACCGGAAGCCCGACGTGGGACTCGATCCCGGGTCTCCAGGATCACGCCCTGGGCCAAAGGCAGGCGCCAAACCGCTGCGCCACCCAGGGATCCCTGTTTTGTTCTTTTTTAAAAAAAAATTATATCTTGATTTATTTATAATATATTTGAGTGTATGCTTTATACAGTTTTGTCAGTGGTTACTCTTGTTTTGGGTTTTTTGTTTGTTTGTTTTTTAATTTATGATAGTCACACAGAGAGAGAGGCAGAGACACAGGCAGAGGAAGAAGCAGGCTCCATGCACTGGGAGCCCGACGTGGGATTCGATCCCGGGTCTCCAGTTTCGCGCCCTGGGCCAAAGGCAGACGCCAAACCGCTGTGCCACCCAGGGACCCCTACTCTTGCATCTTACGATGTATATGACTTTTCATTGTCTACTAGGAACTATTACCTCATGTTAATCACGGACCCTTCATTTTTATATTTGCTATTTAAAAATATTGTCTTGAGTATCAAACTGTGTTACAATTTTCATATCAATCACCAAATATGATTTAGAAAACTCACGAGAAATACACTATTGTGTTTACCCATACTTCTGGTCTTCCCATTCTTGGTTCTTTCTTCCTGGTACTCTAAGATTCCTTGTTTTATCATTTCTTTTCTTTTCTTTCTTTTCTTTTTTTAAGATTTCATTTATTTATTCATGAAAGATACAGAGAGAGAGGCAGAAACACATACAGAAGGAGAAGCAGGCTTGCTGTGGGGAACCTGATGAGGGACTTAACCCCAGGATCCTGGGATCACAAACTGAGCCAAAGGCAGACGCTCAACCACTGAGCCACCCAAGTGCCCTATCATTTCTTTTCTCTGTCAAGAACTTTCTCTAGTCATTCTCAGTCATTTTTGTTAGCAAAAAATTCTTTTAGTTTTCCTACATCTGAGAATGTCTTTATTTTTCCTTCATTCCTGAAGGTAGTTCTACCTAAAGGATTTGGATTTGAGGTTAATATTATTTTTCTTTCAATACCCCAAAAGTGTGTGTCATTCGCTTCTGACCTCTGTTCTTTCAGATGAGCAACCCACCATCGTCATTGTTCCCACATTGCTTGTTTCTTTCTGGCTGCTTCTAAGATTCTTCAATTTATCTTTAGTTTCTAGAATTTTAATTACAAAGGATTGGCATGAGTTTCTTTGGTTAGTTTACTTGGGTTTTATGCAGTGTATGTCTTTTCACCAAATTTTGAAATTTTTAGACATTATTTCTTCACAGATTCTGTCAGCCCCGCACTCTTCCTCTTGTCCTGGGATGCTAAGCATATGAATGTTGGGTCATTTATGTAGAGCTCCTCCAAGTGGAAAAAGTAAACATGCTCCTTAACAGACCAAAAAATACAGTCTCTCATTTTAGACAAAAGCACACCTACAACCTGAAAATAAAAGGTTGGAGAACCATTTACCATTCAAATGGTTCTCAAAATATACCCTAAAAACTATAGAACACTTCTGAAAGAAATTGAGGAAGACACAAAGAGATGGAAAAATATTCCATGCTCATGGATTGGCAGAATTAATATTGTGAAAATGTCAATGTTACCCAGGGCAATTTACACGTATAATGCAATCCCTATCAAAATACCATGGACTTTCTTCAGAGACTTAGAACAAATTATTTTAAGATTTGTGTGGAATCAGAAAAGACCCCAAACAGCCAGGGGAATTTTAAAAAAGAAAACCATATCTGGGGGCATCACAATGCCAGATTTCAGGTTGTACTACAAAGCTGTGTTCATCAAGACAGTGTGGTACTGGCACAAAAACAGACATATAGATCAATGGAACAGAACAGAGAACCCAGAAGTGGACCCTGAACTTTATGGTCAACTAATATACGATAAAGGAGGAAAGACGATCCACTGGAAGAAAGACAGTCTCTTCAATAAATGGTGCTGGGAAAATTGGACATCCACATGCAGAAGAATGAAACTGGACCACTCTCTTGCACCATACACAAAGATAAACTCAAAATGGATGAAAGATATAAATGTGAGACAGTAACTTCTTGCAGGATGCATCCACGAAAGCAAAAGAGGCAGGGGCAAGGATGAACTACTGGGACTTCATCAAGATGGGAGGCTTTTGCACAGCAAAGGATACAGTCAACAAAACTCAAAGACAACCTACAGAATGGGAGAAGATATTTGCAAATGACATATCGGATGAAGGGCTGGTTTCCAAAATCTATAAAGAACTTATTAAACTCAACAGCAAAGAAACAAACAATCCAATCATGAAATGGGCGAGGGACATGAAGAGAGGTCTCACGGGGGAGGACGTAGACATGGCCAACACGCACATGAGAAAATGCTCTGCATCGCTTGCCATTAGGGAAATACAGATCAGAGCCACAATGGGATGCCACCTCACACCAGTGAGAGTGGGGAGGATTAGCAGGGCAGGAAACAACAAATGTTGGGGAGGATGTGGAGAAAAGGGAACCCTCTTACACAGTTGGTGGGAATGTGAACTGGTGCAGCCACTCTGGAAGGCTGTGTGGAGGTTCCTCAAAGAGTTAAAAATAGACCTGCCCTACGACCCAGCAATTGCACTGTTAGGGATTTGCCCGAGGATTCAGATGCAATGAAACGCCGGGACACCTGCACCCCGATGTTTCTAGCAGCCATGTCCACAATAGCCAAACTGGGGAGGGAGCCTCGGTGTCCATCGAAGGATGAATGGATAAAGAAGATGTGGTTTATGTATACAATGGAATATTACTCAGCCATTAGAAACGACAAATACCCACCATTTGCTTCAACGTAGATGGAACTGGAGGGTATTATGCTGAGTGAAGTAAGTCAATCGGAGAAGGACAAACAGTGTATGTTCTCATTCATTTGGGGAATATGAATAATAGTGAAAGGGAATATAAGGGAAGGGAGAAGAAATGTGTGAGAAATATCAGAAAGGGAGACAGAACATAGAGACTTCTAACTCTAGGAAATGAACTAGGGGTGGTGGAGGGGGAGGAGGGCGGGGGGTGGGGGTGAATGGGTGACGGGCACTGAGGGGGACACTTGACGGGATGAGCACTGGGTGTTATTCTGTATGTTGGTAAATTGAACACCAATAAAAATTAATTTATAAAAAAAAATAAAATAAAAAAATACAGTCTCTCTAGGGCATATAAAATAAAAAGCAAAGGCATATGAACTTAAAATACTGCTTAAAAGGTATCTCAGTATTCTATCTTACTTAGAAAAGTATTTAAGTAAGGGTATCTGGGTGGCTCTGTCTGTTAATTAAGCATTTGCCTTTGGCTCAGGTCATGATCCCAGGACCCTGGGATTGAGTCCTGCATTGAGCTCCCTGCTCAGTGGGGAGTCTGCTTCTCCTTCTGTGTTCCTGAGCTCATTCATTCCTTCTTTTAGTTTTTTGAAAAATGTATTTATTTGAGAGAGAGAGGGAGAGCAAGCTTGAGCGGGAGAGGGGTAGGGGAAAGAAGTGGAGGGAGAGGGAGAAGCAGGCTCACCGCTGAGCAGGGAGCCTGATGTGGGGTTCCATCCCAGGACTCTGGTATCATGACCTGAACTGAAGGCAGGTGATTCACCTACTGAGCCACCCAGGCGTGCCTCCCCTCACACAAGTTCTTGCTCTCTCTTTCAAATAAATAAATAAATAAATAAATAAATAAATAAATAAATAAATAAATAAATAAATAAGTAAAATCTTACCAAAAATAAAAGGAAATGTAACTAATTGTCTATTTAATGATCATCCATCAATTAATTCAACTGAGTATCAGTGCAAGGTTCTGAGTTAACGAATGATCCACTCTGAGCATATGGGGGAAAGCAGTTAGTCCTGCCTTTTGCACCCCTGTTAAAGAGTTTTGAATTGTCTGCCCCCTCCTAGCTTACCATGAACCCTGTTGAAAGTGAGTGTAATTTTTTTTCAGACTATGAAGTTTTTCAGGAATGTATACTCTGGGTTATGATAGAAGCAACTGTGTAGCTCTGTGCTGGTTACTCCACAAAGCAATAGGATTATCAAGAAGAAAAGTCTCAGGCAGTGATGAATCTACTGTAAGAGGTAACATATTAATATATACTTGTAAATCTATGCAATGTATTCTGTAGTGTTCACATGTACCAGGTGCCCTGAGAATATAGAGAGCCAGGAAGTCTTTCCAAGTGGATTTAGTTGGCTTCACAGTCTGACCTTGGACATTCATTCATTGCTCATTTACTTCATCCACACATATTCACTGAGTACTTAATACGAGGCAGCAGTGCTACACCATATAGAGCAAGCTCACTGTGTTCACTGTTTAGCAGGAGTTTAAAGGAAGGAGAAGAGAGAGAAACAAACATTCTTGGCCTGGAAAGTGATCATCCTGTGGACCCTGCTTGAAGGACTGGGGGCAGGGAGAGCAGCCAGGGGAGCCACCAGGTGAAAGGGCACCAGAAAAGGGCCCAATAAATGTTTCCTTGTGTGAACGTACAGATGAAGACAGAAAAACAAGTTATCCTAACAAATCCCAGCCTTCCCAGGAATTCACCCTAGCTTGAGACCACTTGCTTCAGAAGGTGGCAAAGGAACAACCAGGAGTGAGGTGGAATAAAATACAGCTTCTGTCCAACCTGGTATAGTTCCCCTCTAAGGGTTCTATTGTAGTTATTAAGGCAAAAAAAAATTATTCATTTCTGTGAGTTCACAGAGTTTTTTGCCTCTGTGAATTTGGGCAAGACCCTCAACTCCCCATTTGCAAATAGAGATAATATGTGTGTGTGTGTGTGTGTGTATATATATATATATATATATATATATATATATATATACACGTGTGTATATATATATATATATATGATTTTATTTATTCATTTATTTGAGAGAGAGTGGGGAGGGGCAGTAGAGGGAGGAGGAGAAGGAGAAGCAGGATCCCTGATGCGGGGCTCCATCCCAGGACTCTGAGATCATGAGCTGAAATCAAGAATCGGGCATTTAACTGACTGAGCCACCCAGGTGCCCCAGGATAATATATTTTTTTAAGATATTGAGAGTAAGTTTCTCCTATATAGTCTAGCATGATCCTTACTACAGGGTTAGCATTCTGCAAATTGTATTTCTTTTTCCTTTTCTTTCCTCAGGTGTTAAGTAGGACTTAGACAATTTGAAATTTACTGTTCTGGGGGTTTAATTCTGGATTGAAAGTGTCAGCAGGATTTGGTTCCTTCTGCATAATGTGAGGGAAAATCTGTCCCTCTCTTAGCATCTAGCCTGTGCTCAGGTGTATCCTGTGTCTTCACAGTTTCCCTCTGTGAACTTCTCTGGGTCAATGTCAGTCCTATTGGATTAGATCCCATCCTAATGGCCTTATCTTAGTTTGGTCATTTATAAAAAGTCTTATTTTCTAAAGATTTTATTTATTTATTCACGAGAGGCACACAGAGAGAGAGAGAGAGAGAGAGAGGCAGAAGGAGAAGCAGGGTCCATGCAGGGAGCCTGATGCAGGACTCGATCCCGGATCCCCAGGATCACACCCGGGGCTGAAAGTGGCACTAAACTGCTAAGCCACCCAGGCTGCCCAAAAGTCTTATTTTCAAAGAAGGTCACATTTACAGGTATTGGAAGTTAGGACTTCAACCATTTTAGTGGGGGCATTTCAACCCATAATGTCTGCCATCCACAAGGGTTTCTCCCGAGATGTGAGGGGCTGAAGCCAGCCTACAAGTGGTTGCTGGTCTTGGGGAGCATGCTAATACCTCAGAAGGGAGGGCCCAGGGCCCATTCTTCCCCCCACCCCTGCTCCTCCGAACCCCCTTCAGTATATGTGACCTACCACAGGACCTCTTGGCAGGAAACAGTGGTACAGTGCCCTGTGGTTCTTCCTCTGTGCTACCACACTGATACCATTCCATGTTAGGGGACCAGGAAGGCCTGCACTCAGACAAGAGAGAATGCTGGCCCAACAAGAATGGAACCTGTCAGTGCTGGATGAATGTGACTGTCCCTCGGGGAGAAGAAGCCACATACCCCTGGCACACTGAGCACTGAGGCCCGAATGGGGCCACCACTTGCACATGCTGTGAAGGTCTAGGCTATCAGGGTCAGTAGCCCAGGGTGGCTCTGGCATATTATTCACCTGAGCAGATGGTTGAGACAAAGGACCCAGAATCTCACACCCTGGTGAGTGAGGTGCGAATAGAAGCCAAAATCAGTACCATGGAACCTCAAACAGAGCTTTCATCAGACTCCATGAACATCATTGCTCCAATGCCCATTTTAGCAAGCATCTTGGCCATGGCTGGAATTGGCGTTCTTTGGAAAAGCTATTCCAGTCAGACAGGAAAGCTAAGAAGGCTCACAGCAGCACTTGCTGTCAATCTCTTCTGCACGGCCAGCTGCTGGGGACCCAGGCGACACAGCATTTATGGTCTCCAATATCCCTTCACCCCTGGCCGCTTACTGTCCAGGAAGTATAGACGGCCCCGGCCCCCAATCCTCCAGGACCCCCTATTTCTTCCCGAGAACACATACACAAAGGAGTGTGCGTATGTGTATGCTTAACCTATTTATATATCCCTCTCTGCCACTGTATCCCACTCCGACCCCACCTTTGCAGATTGCCTTTGTTAAATGAGTAATTTTGGTTGGAACTGTCCTTAGCTGGAGAATGTCCCTGTTTTGCATTGCATGCATTTTTAATTTACTAAACTAATGTCTTTGGTTTCTTCCAATACCATATGGTACTGGTCCCCATTTTACCCATTTTCCTCTCTCAGTGAAGGATACTCTGTCTGCCTGCACTTTCCGGTCACACACAGACATATCCCTTTACGGGGTACACTTGAGGAAATCTTTAGAAAGGGTTGGAATGGAGTTGAAGCCTCAGTCTGCACACCCACATCCACACAACAACTGAGCAGTATTCAACTTTCTAATTTGGTAACGCCCTAAGAGACAAAATGATATATTCCTTTTCATTACCTTGTTTCACGAAGTGCTTTGGATTTTTCTGTATGTAAATTTCTTGTTCATTTTTTTCACTCATTTCTGATCTGGGATTTCTGTATTGGTCTTTTTTTTTTTTTAAGATTTTATTTATTTATTCATGAGAGACAAAGAGGCAGAGGGTGAAGCAGGCTCCATTCAGGGAGCCTGACATGGGACTTGATCCCAGGTCTCCAGGATCACACCTTGGGCCAAAGGCAGATGCTTAATCGCTAAGCCACCCAGGGATCCCCTGCCTTGGTCTTCTTGATTTAGAGGAGTTCCTTTTCTCTTCTAATTACTAATCCTCTGTTTCCAACATCATATATAACTTTCTGCCATTCTATCAGCTGTTAATTAACTTTACCCATGGTAACCTTCATTGAACAAGAATCCTTAATTGTGATATATGTACTTTCAGGAATATAGATCAATGAAATAAAACTGAGAGTCCAGAAAGAAATCCTCATGCTTACAGTTAATTGATTTCGGACAAGGTGCCAAAGCAATTCAGTAAAGAAAGAATAATCTTTTCAACACATGGTGCTGGGACAACTGAATATCCACACTATGAGATAAGAGAAAATATATGTTGGACTCTCGATCAGTTCCTGACATTGGGCTCCTGAAATCCTCGTAATTTCCTGGGTGGTAGGAGTGTCTTTTGTTCTAATGAGGCGACTCTGGGTGTGTTTCTGGTGGTCCCTAGATGAGGGTCACCATCAAACCAAGACATGAATAGAAGCCTGGAATGTTTGACCTCCCCCCCACCCCCTGTCCCCCATTCCTATCCTCAAGAGATGGTAGAGGGTCTGGAAATGGAGTTTTTATTGTGCATGAAAAAGAAACGTGACAATAATATGTTAAATAAGCCAATCGTGAAGAACCACATATTCTATGATTCCATGTGTGTGAAATATTCAGAGGAAGTAATTCTATTGAGATGGTAGATTAGTGATTGCCTGGGGTAGGGTGGGAGAGGTAGAGGGATTTGGAGGTGATGTCTAAAAGGCACAAGATTTCTCTGTGGAGAGGATGAAAAACGTTCTAAAACTGCGGTAATAGTTATATGCCTTTGTGAAAATACTAAAACTTACTGAATTTTACACCTTAGGTGGATGAATCATACGGTATGTGAATTAAATCTTGATAATAAAGCTGTTACCAAGAAAAAAGAATATCACAATCAACCCCAACCACTCGTCAACTGTATTGGACATTTCCCCAATTGCATTTCATATGCCCCTACAGATAGGCTCCAATTTCCAAGTTTGAATCTTTTCCTCAGATGGCCAAAATTGGCATACATGCTTACAAAGATATTGCTCATTGGATTTATTAGGTATTTAAAGGTTTTAGGAAAATCAGATGTAGTAAATTTGTTAATACGTTTGGAAATATCTAAACAGTAGTTCCCAAACTGTGTGTGTGCCCATGGGGTGGGAGGGGTTAAAATTCCAATCCCCAGGTAGCAGTGCACACCAATTAAATCAGTAGCTGAGGGTAAAAAGCAGCACATCAATAAGTTTAATGATTTTCTAGGTGATTCCAATGTGTTGTTAAGTTTGTGAAATTTAATTTAACCTTGTGAATCGTGAACGATGTTTCAAGAGGTTCTACTTTGTTAAACTTAGGAGTTTAATTATTCCTAATGTGGGAATAAAATGAAAGGTTTACCCAGAAATCCTATTGAACTTCAGATAAAAATTTTGAAAACGTACCATTGAATTTTTAAAGTACCTACTTTCTAGATATTGAATATCAGAAATGTGACTATTTAGATCAGAAAAAGTGCAGTATACTTTCCTCCACCAGTGACGTCGTCCCCTTAGGACTGATACTTCCCAGGGACAGCGGGGTCACGGAAGGTTTCACCAGCAAGTGCTTGAGACTGAGGAGAGTTCGAGTTCTGGAGTCTCTTTTCCCCCACGGCCCGGAAAAGGATCGCACTGGCCAGGAAGTTTTGCCTGGCATCCCCGCAGCCCGGGCGGTGGCTCCAGGGTGACTCGCTGGCCATGCCCGCGCCGCCGCCACCCGGAGGCGGGGGAAGCTCGGGACGCGCGGCCGCAGCGGAGATGAGCCCGGGGGCGCGGCGCGCGCGGCTCCTGCTGCTGCTGCTCCTGTTCCTGCTGCTCCAGCTGCGGACCGTGGCCGCGCAGCGGCGGCCTCCGCGTGAGTCCGGGCCGCGGCGGGGACCAGATCGAAATCCGCCCGGCGGAGCCCCCGGGGTCGCCCAGGGCGCGAGGAGCGCGCGGCCGCGAGCGCGGCCTCTGCCGGACTCTCTCCCGGGAGGGCTCCGCCGAGGGGTGCAAGACCGGGCTGGGGGTCCCCTCTCCTCGGAGTGCTCCCCTCCGCGCCCCCCGCCCCCACCCGCCGACTGTGACGCTTTTAACTACAAATCTGTGCGCTTCTCCTGCCGGCTGAGCTCGGATTCCTGCGTCCTCAGACTCGGATCTGGGCGCTCTTGTTCCGCTTTTGGCCTTGTCTTGTTTCCCCGGTCGGGCCGTCGCCAAACAGGAAGTTCTTCTCCGCAAAGACGATTTAGGCCGGGCCGGCGGTTTGGGCTCGGGGCTGGCGGAGGGCCGCAGGCCTGGGCTGCACGGGGTCCGCACTGCGCCCGGCCTTGCCTTTCGACCTCGGGGTGGGGTTGATCTCCCGACAACCCTGGCCTCACGGACTCCTGGCGGTTGTTCTTTTCTCTGAAAAAAGTAACATATCTGTGATTTCTGGACTTTTGAACTGAACGCAACAGTTCTCCTTTTCAGCGGGGGAGGGGGTGTTGGTTTGCTGTTTATTTATCGTACCACATACAGTTAACAGGCCCTTGCTAGAGGATGCAGCGTGGTGATCAGGAGCACTTAACTCAGGTTTAAATCACCTTCCTATCTGTGATCTGGTTCAAATCGACTAAACATTTGGGAGGCAGGAGCCAGTCCTGGGGTGATTTTACTAGTGTTGTCTGGCCCTCGGGTTAGGTTCCTTCCCCAGGGTAGAAAGAATTTAGGCGATCTGGTTCTCTGATGTAAAATGAAGTACCACCAACTGTTCCTAATCTCTGTTGACAGCGACTCCTTACATACCTTTTTACACAGTCACAGAACAACACTTGGAGGGTAGATGGAATGTGTATCCACATTTTCTAGATGACAAGAGATGACAAGAATGAGGCATGACCTGCTCTTGGGTGATTTTGTTCAAGGTTACCCTGGGCTTTGGAGGCAGAACCGGGGGTCTCCCTAGCTGTGGTTTTTAAATGTCACACCACAGTAGAGGCTGACACATAAACTGGATGTGGAACAGAAATATTCTTTGTTCGCACGTATAAAGGGAATACAGAGCCTGTGTTGCATTGTTCCAGGCCCTGGGGAGATAGCAGGGAGCCAAGTCCTTGCCCTCTAATATTTTGCATTCTAGTCAGGGGATGACAATAAACGAACAAAAGGAATCAGAGCACCAGGTAGCAGTAGGAGCTGTAAGGACAGGTGAGGTAGGGAGCTAGGGCAGGCTTCTCTCAGGCTGGCAATAGAACAGAGATCTGAAGGAAGCAGGGGTGGTGCCAACTGGAAGCAGTGTTCCCTAGGCCAGCTGAGTGGACCCGGCAAGTTGAGTTGAAGCAGAGACTGCCACCTCGGGGCCACTGATACTTTTCTCTTGTGGGGACCAATAGCACATTCCTCTGGACTTGGATCTAATTTGCCCTGAGCATCAACTCCTGAGCTCAGCTGCCCCACTGGAGACCCTCTAGGAGCTTATGGAGTTTGTTGGCTGCAGGGGAGATTGCCCTAAATGTGCAAAGCAGGGCAGAGGCTGGAAGTTCTGAGGGGGTGACAACAGCTGCACAGGGCAAGGGCACCCAGGCCTGTGGTGGAGAGAAGAGAGGCACTGCACCTCTGGTTACATGGGGTGGGCCCAGACACAGCATGTGCAGCGAGTTGATCTCAGGGCTGTGGTCCCTTGGCCTCCCAGCCCTGCGTGTGGTGCATAGAGATGTCCTCTTGCCTTCTCCCCAGGATCCCATTCTCTGCGCTACCTCTTCATGGGTGCCTCAGTGCCAGACCTTGGGCTGCCCCTGTTTGAGGCCCGGGGCTACGTGGATGACCAGCTGTTCGTGTCCTACAGTCACGAGACTCGCCGTGCAGAGCCTCGTGCCCAGTGGGTCCGGACAGGGGCTGCCAGCCAGCTGTGGCTACAGCTGAGTCAGAGCCTGAAGGGGTGGGATCACATGTTCATCGTCGACTTCTGGACCATTATGGACAATCACAACCACAGCAAGGGTACGGGGAGAGGGTCCTCACCTTTCTGACATGGCCAGAGTATTTCTCTATCTTGAGGCATCTGGGGGAGTAAGCAGGCAGTCTGCGGTCCTTTGGGCCCTGGGCATGCTGAGACAGGGGCTTCCTCCTTTGGTTTCAGTAACGAAGCTCGGGGTATCGTCGGAGTCCCACACCCTGCAAGTGATCCTGGGCTGTGAGGTGCAAGAGGACAACAGCACCACAGGGTTCTGGAAGTATGGGTATGATGGACAGAACCATCTGGAATTCTGCCCTGAGACACTGGACTGGAGAGCAGCGGAACCCAAGGCCCAGGCCACCAAGCTGGAGTGGGAAGTGAACAAGATTCGGGCCAAACAGAACAGGGCCTACCTGCAGAGGGATTGTCCTGAGCAGCTGTGGCAGCTGCTGGAGCTGGGAAGAGGGGTTCTAGACCGGCAAGGTATGGAGGAAGTGCCCTTCTGCCCTCCCCACCCTGTACTTTCCTGATATGGTGAAGGGGGCGTGGGGCGAGGTCCCAGGCAGGGGTTGCCCAGGGGGTGCCTGGGGGGACTCTCTGGGCAGGACCTGAGGTCTGAGGATACAGCCGAGAGCCATGGTTTTCATATTATTTCCTCCCTACATGTGGCTGAGGAAGAAGTATCTGTGATCTTTTGATTTAAATATACTGTGCATATTTACACCTTTTAGAAATTCAGAGATGTCAATTATCACATTAATGCCAAGTCAAGAAATTACCCAGGGAGACAACCAGTCAGAGTAGGAGAATCCTTTGGTGGTTAAAGAAGAGATGGTCCCTGAAGGCTGCCAATCTTCCGGGGCCCCTTCTCACCAGAATACTTATTGGGTCGAAACCAATAAGTAGAATTTGCCAATAGGGCTTATTCAGCCCAATCCACATACAGGGTGATTTTATCTGATTCAATTTCCTGTACTGACAAAGAGTAGAAGCCATGAGCTACAGGTCCACACATTTGTATAGGGGACAGGAGGATGGGCTTGACTTTTGTCCCTGTAGCACCACATCGGAGCTGGTTCCTGCCACATGGTTTAGGCCCAAAATGGTGACTCTCCTACAGCATTGTCTGAATAAGGTTGTCTTCTTCCTTTAACTCAGAGAGGAGGGGAAGTGAAAGTTTGAGGCTTCCTGGGAAGGGTAGAAAGCTCCCCTCTCTAGAGCCTTCCTCCTTCCTGTCCAGTGCCCCCTCTGGTGAAGATGACTCATCATGTGACCTCGGCAGTGACCACCCTCCGGTGTCAGGCTCTGAACTTCTACCCCCAGAACATCACCATGAAGTGGCTGAAGGACAGGCAGCCACTGGATGCCGAGGATGTTGAGCCTAAGGATGTGCTGCCCAACGGGGATGGGACCTACCAGAGATGGGTAGCCTTGGCTGTGGCCCCTGGGGAAGAGCAGAGATACACCTGCCAGGTCGAGCACCCAGGCCTGGATCAGCCCCTCACTGCCAGTTGGGGTATGGTTGGGAGCCAGGTGCTAAGGAAATCTGTTGTGGGTGGAACCAGAGGGGTTAGCGTGGCAGTGAGGGGGTTCTGCATGAGGCTGGGGCCATGGTTACAGCTTGAACTAGCTTTTGCTCTTTCAGAGGCCCCGATGTCCGGCACCCTGGTCGTTGGCATCATCAGTGGGATTGCTGTTTGCATCTTCGTCCTTTTTACTGGAATTCTGTTCAGAATCTTAAGAAAGAGGCAGGCTTCAAGTGAGTAGGGAGGAGGAGGAAGTCTCCTGGTCCCTCTGAATCCAGGACATACTAATTCATCAGGAAGTGGGGCCACAGGGGAGGGCAAAATGGCTTTGGCAGGCATCCGTGGGAGGCCTCTTCCCCTTTTTCTCTTTGGGAACACTGGTTCCACTGCCACCCCAGGAGTAGGAATTCATGCTTTTCCCCAGAATGAAAGCTCCAAGGTGGACAAACTTCTTGTGAGCACCTGCTGTTTTGTAAGATGCTATATAAAGTAGTGCTCAGGCTCCAAGGTTGAATTCATCATCGTTGCTATTCTCAGAACTCACATCTAGAGAGCAACAAGATCCATAGCACAAGTAAACACAAAGAATATTCTCTGGGGTGTCAAAGGAAAGAATGGCCATGTTCTGTTGGGGATTGGCAAGGTGTTCTGGGCCGTGAGGTGGATTGCTCCAGAAGGGGTGGGGAACAGGGGGAGGAGGTCTACACAGTTGGAGCCACCATGCAAATGGCCAAGCATGAGGCGTAGGGGGAAGTGAGAAATGACTGTGCCTCATCCTGTCAGTCACCAGGGCGCTTTCCTGCCTCCTGAGCATCTGTGGTGTGGGGGAAAGAGGGACAGATGGAAGCCAGCCATGCAGAGCTCTGGGGGCCTCCAGGATGGCAGCTGAGGGGCCCTGGGAAGCCAGGACAGGGACAGTCAGGTGTACAGAGTCGGCAGTTGGAGCAGGAGTGTCAGGAGGTGAGATTGGGAGGCAAGGAAGCCGGGGAGAAGCTAATAAGCAAGGTGAGGCTGTGGGAGCCCTGGGAGCTGTCCAGGCAGCAGTGGTCCCAGTGGGGGTGAATGGGTGAGGGGGGCGAAGGCCAGGGATGAGGCAGTAGGTGCTCGACCTGTGATGCCCCTTCCTGTCTCTTGTCTCTACAGGAGGAGCCATGGGTGACTACGTGCTGGCCGAATGTAAGTGAGGGACAGCCTGCAGGCCCCTGGGGGAGACTCAGAGAGAGAATGCCCCTATGACATTCCTCCAGCTCCAGGGCAGAAGCGTGCCCAACAAATGGGAGCTGCCCCAGGAACTCTCTGCTTACTGCCTTCCTTGTTCATCTTTCAGAAGTTTCTCCCACTTAGGTTTTTGAGTTCCTGCAGGCCAGTGAGTCCCAGCGCTGGCTCAGGGCAGAACTGCCTCTCTTGAATCTCGAGCTGCCTCTAGAGTCTGCCTTCATTTCTGCATGACTGCAGGCTCCATAGGCCCATGTCATCTCTCATCTCCTACCTCTGGAATGGGGCTCCTGAAATTTTGGAGACTCACAAGTTCCTTTCAACATTTGAGAAAAGCGATGAACTTTCTCCTCAAGACATAACTCTCATATCCTTACCAGAATTTTGCACACACATCCAGGCATTTCCTAGGCCCATTCGTTTCCTTTTGATTCTTTCTCTTTCTCTCTCTCTCTGTCTCTTTCTCTCTGTTTTCCAGTAATTTACCTGTCACCAAGCCCTGTGGTCTCTTCCATCAGAGGGTGAAAAGGGTCATTGTACAGCAATGAAGGCCGTGCACTGCACAACCCAAGAAGGCGCCTTTCCCAGAAGAGCCATTGTGGATGCCTGTGTTTATTTATAATAGTTTTCCAGAAAGTGGGTGGGAAGAGTCTTGAGGAGGGCTATCTTTTTCTAATTGGTGGAAAAGCATCACATAGATTCCCTCAGATTCATGATTTACATTAATGCATTCACAATTCCAGTCTGGTATGCCAGGCTTGAAATAACACAGTAATTTCCTACTTGCTCTCTGCTAAAGAAATGATAATGAAAATGATCACGAGGATGATGATGGTGATGATAAGGTGGCTGACAATTATTAAAAAAAAAGTAAATAAATAAATAAATAGATAAATAAATAAATAAAAAATAGACTTACCTTCTGCCAGACTGAGTTCTGAGAACCTACATGCATTATAATTCTTACAATAATTCTCTGATGTCAGTACTATTATCCTATTTTTTTTTTTTTTTTTTTTTTTTTTAGATGAAGAAAATGAAGCACGGAGTGTCTCACAGCCTGCCAGGGCTAGGGGCAGATTTCCAGCTCGTCAGTCTGACTCTGATCCATCTCACACACCACTGCATCCAGACGGTTGAACTGTGCCCAGGAAATGGAGAAAGGAGGGACATGGCTCTTCTGTGGTCCCAGTGTTTTACTGCTCAGTGAGCTTGACCAAGATGGAGGGAAACAGCAGAAAATAAGCTCAGTCATTTCCTTTCAAAGTCTCTGGTGAGAGAACTCCAGGATGTGGATCTCACTGGTCTGCCACCACCCGTCTGCTCTGTCTGGCATCTGTCCTAGGCCCCAGGGTCAGGACGGTGATCGGTGGTGCCAGTTAGTGGTTATGGTGGACCTTGAACTATTTTCGCTCTGCTGGTGCCTCCAGAGTCAGAACACTGGTGGCATTTCCCTCCATGAAACAGAGCAACCTCTGTCATATTAAAGATGGCAAAATGGAAGCCACTGAGTGGCCTGGAGAAACCCTGGCATCTTCCTGGGGTTCCTGGGAGTCTGGTTCTCTTCCCCAATTGTGCATATTAAAAAAAGAAACCTATCGGGATGTCTGGGTGGCTCAGTCGGTTAAGTGCTTAAGCGTCTGCCTTTCAGCTCAGACCGTGATCTCAGGGTCTTTGGTTTGAGCCCCATCGGGCTCCCGCTCAGCAGTGAGTTGGCTTCTCCCTCTGCCCCTACACCAATCAAACTTCTTGCTAGTGCTCTTTTTCTCTCAAATAAATAAATAAAATCTAAAAAAAGAAACTGCTTTAACCAGGCTGCTCAGGAATTACTGGATTCTGGAAAAGTAATTCATCTGACCATGTTCAAAAGAATACTAACATAGACACCCAGATGGCATGTGATTATTTTATGCTGCTCTGTACATTTGTCTGCATAACTCTGGAACAAGGCATTCTGTCTTGGAGGGTAGGTGCCTCAAAAGACCAAATAAAGCTCAACAGTTTGTTTGGTGGGTAATGAATTTGGGCAAAGAGACCTCAACCATTTTTTTAAACTTTTTTTTCTAAAAAAAAGAAAACATTGGTTAAGTTCTGCTGGGAGATACAGGCAAAAATTCTTGGCTATGTTTTAGCAATGTAGTCTTACAGGGTTAAGTGTGCTTAACAGAAGGTTACTAAAGTTGAATGAAGAAAAGTACATGTAATTTGTGCTTATTGTAGAAAAACTGAAAATGAGTTAAATTGAAACTATCATTCCATTAGTTAGTGATAAACCCTATTAACTATTTGTGTATTTCCTCTCAGTACTGCTATATTAAAATCAACAAATACATATAAAATCAAGAAATATATTTTAATAAACATACAATTAATTCTGTTGTGTAACTGCATATTTTTTTTAGAGGGGGAGATGGGTAGAGGGAGAGAGAGAGAGAGAATCTTAAGCAGGCTCCATGTCCAGCACAGAGCCCAGAACGCCCCTGCATGATTTTTCTCATGTACTTATCAATGTTACGGACTAATCAATCTAAACATTGTGTCATTGGTGGGACATTGATACTGTTTCCAATTTTTTTACATTTTGCTTTATGGAATGTCTTCATTAAACTCTGGTAGCTAAATTAATTGTTCTTCCTTACTCTAGAAACATTATCATCGGAGCTGTAATATGTTGGTTATTTTATCTGCAAACACACTGACAAATTCTTTCTCTTTATTTTATTTTTTTTAAAGATTTATTTGAGAGAGAGTGAGTGAGGAAGAGAGAGAACACAAGCAAGGGAAGAGAGGAAGAGGGAGATGGGGGCTCCCTTGCTGAGCAAGGAGCCCGATGTGGGACTCTATCCCAGGATCCTGGGATCATGACCTGAGCCAGAAGCAGACACTCAACTGACAGAGCCACCCAGGTGCCCAAATTCTTTCTCTTTATATATCATTCTGTACTCAGAACAGATTGCCAAAAAGCTTCCCTTGCTCTTCTGGCTCATTAAGAGTATGTTACAATTAATTAGGCGGTGGTGTGTTTTATATTGGTTTTCTTTCACACAGGCTGAGATTTCCAGAAACGCTCTAGTCTTCACAGTGGCAGATTTGCTAACCATTGGCAACTGTAGCCTGTTACCTTTCTTTTTATAATGGGAGTTATAAAGCTCTATTTTCTTTGAGTGTTTCTTAGCCTAATTTTTCTGCCCTTGTTCATCAATGCTTATGGTCAACTACATTTAAAAAGTCAGGGACACCTGGATGGCTCAGTGGTTGAACCTCTGCCTTTGGCTCAGGTTGTGATCCTGGGGTCCTGGGGTCAGTTCTGCATTGGGCTCCTCAGGGGGACTGCTTCTCCCTCTGCCTATGCCTCTGCCTCTCTCTCTCTCTCTCTCTTCTGAATAAATAAATAAAATCTTAAGAAAAAAAATCAAAGACCTGTATTTTAAATTCTTGATCCTATTTTGCCTCTGGCAAAACCACCCACAAACAAAACGCTGTAGAGAAGGGTTCCACCTGGTGGCTATGGTGGAAAGTGTCACAGAGATCATGTGACTGAATAGAGCTGGGGCGAGTTTTTGGCAGGGATAGGGGTAGATGGAGAAGAGGTGTGCACTGGAGATCCTTTGTGGGGGGAAAAACCCCTGAGAATTTGAAGAAATAAGAAACAAGTCACCAGCTAGTTCGATCACAGGGCACCGTTGAGCTACCTGAGCTGAGAACAGAACAGAAGAAAACCTTTGTTAATGTATGAAGTTCAGGTGCCGTCATTGGTTAAGATCTGCTGGGAGATACAAGCAAAAATTCTTGGCTATGTTTTAACAATATAGTCTTACAGGGCTGAGTGTGCTTGATGCACCACAAAACATTCTTCAAATACACACACATACGCATTTGAAAACATAAGGCCTTCTCTAAAATGCTGGAAAATTCTTATAAGCTACCATTTTTAAACTATCAGTTTTTTCTAATCACTCTCTAATCTAATAATGACCAGAACTCAAGAACATGTGACTTTAAACATTTAAGATTTTCAAATCGACAGACAGGTATTTGAGGCTTTGATTCCTTCTGTAGACTTTGGGACATTATATTTTTGTTTCTCTTTTGGAATCAGTGTTAATGATTCATTATTAATAAATTTGTGTGACAGTTTTGTTACAAAGTCTGGGTTGACTTGACATCCACATGCATGCCTTCCATGGCATGAATATTTTCTAAAACTATTTTATTTATTTTTTTCAGCAAATAATGATTACCACTAACTAGATACCAGGCCTTTGTTTGGTATGTTGTTTCTGAAGAATCCAGTGAAGTAAGAACCATGGTTATTTCATTACCCTTATTTTGTAGTGTGGAAACGAAAGCACAGAGAGGTTGCATAACTTGCTGAAAGTTACACAGCTAGAAAATTATTGTGCTCAATTTTTATTCTAGCTCATCTGGCTCAGAGTCAAGGCCATAACCACTCTGCAATACCTGTTTCTGTGTCAAGAAAACATGTTGTGTAGCATTGTTACCATGTCTTTGAAATGCTCCTGGTGGCAACACCTCTGATATTTGCTTCAGTGAGGAGAAAATTTGTTTTAACATTTCAGAATTTGCCATATTCCTATAACTTTTTCATAAATATGTGGAAATGTTTTCTTTAGGTGTATTTTTTTAATCTAAGGATTTTTTTCCTAATGAACAAATTTTTAATGAATAAATTCAAATTTCTATTTATTCTCTTTACCATTAAGGCAAAAATTTGAGTATGAATAGCCTTGAAACACAACACCTATGAATCATTTTATTCACCAGATTTGGGTAGAAACTATTGTGTTTTTTTTTTAAGTATTGTTATTTTTTAAATATGAAAGTCTAGGTTTTGATCCTAAGAGTCTAAAAAAGATTTTTGGAGTCTTCTGTGTACTCTTGGTGGGACGGGGTAAGGGTGGGGTGGGTAAGTCCCTGTATCTGTATAAACCCCAGTGTAAGTCTCCTTGGTTAACCTTACTTTATGGGTTGAATAAGCATCCTGAACTTTATTCCTTAAACAGTTACCACAATGGCATTTTCAAAAGGCAGTCAATAACCAACTTTGATACTGCCACCTTTGGTCTTGACAATATGTACAAGAGAGAGCATCTGTTTTAAATACAGATGTAACACTTAATGGTCTTTCCTTTCTTTGGGTATGTGTGGAATCACATTAATTAATTAATCACATTTAACTTCACCATTAAAACAAGTGTAAAATACTTTTTGTGCTTTGTGTATGTGATTAAGAAAGCATTCCAGAGAATGTTGAAAATCAAATTTAATTGGACACATAAATATTTTGAAACAAATAAATGTATAAGTAAAGATATTGACCGAAATTCTCTGTCCCAGGAACTTTCTTTTGATAGGTCAAAATAAACTGAGAATAGGAGCAAGGACACACCACACAAAGACGGCAGGGAGTGAAAGGGATAAAAACTTACAGTAAAATGTTTGGACTGAAAGGAAAAAGTAGACCATTTTCTAGAACAGGAAGGAGAGCAAGTAGGGAAAGATATGGTATATGTTATGGACACAGATATGCCAATGGGAATGAAAATTAAATTTAAGGAAAGTGAATAAGGCAATGGGTATTCATACCAAGAAAAAGGTTAGGTGGCTGGAAAAGAGAAATGCATTGAAGCCTTAAATTGCAATAAGATCCATCAGCCAGTGACTGGAAAAGCCATCTGTCCCAGACCAGGAGTGATATCCCCAAATGCTTGAAAATAATGTTTTTATAAAGCCCTAGAAACTAAGTTGGGTCAGGTTGAATTTACACCTTTCTTCGACTGTAATATAAATAAAAAATATTTCTTCCCTAGGATTTCTTCTCACAATTATACATGTAAAAGTCATGATGTAGAGGCACCTGGGTGGCTCAGTGGTTGAGCGTCTGTCTGCCTTTGGCTCAGGTCGTGATCCCAGAATCCTGAGATCCAGTCCCTCATCAGGTCCTCCCAGAGAGCCTGCTTCTCCCTCTGCCTCTCTCATGAATATTAAGAAATATTTTTTTAAAAAAGTGATGATGTATATTGGGACTTCTCAACACTGAGCAAGTATCAGAATTATTTATTGACCATATATATATAGGAATATATACATATACCATTCTATATATACCATACTATACATACATACATACATCATATCATATATACATATACCATTCCTCAGCTCTGATACTTTGAGTTAGTCTGCTGCAGAGGGTGTTGTGGGCATTCCATATTTTTATAAAACTTTTTTTTTTATTTATGATAGTCACAGAGAGAGAGAGAGAGAGAGGCAGAGACACAGGCAGAGGGAGAAGCAGGCTCCATGCACTGGGAGCCTGATGTGGGATTCGATCCTGGGCCTCCAGGATCGTGCCCTGGGCCAAAGGCAGGCGCCAAACCGCTGTGCCACCCTGGGATCCCCAAGACTTTTGATTAACATCATGGTTTTATTCGTTCAAATGTATGATGTGACCTATTAGCCACAATTTGTAGGGTTTCTAGCTGAAAGGCTTACCTCACATGTTGAATGAATGGGGTTCTCTTAAGCCAGGTTCTCTCTGAGGGTGAGAAGGAGGTAAAAAGAAAACCAGATCTACAGGTGCCAGAGAGAGCACCAGCTTTGCCAAGCCTTATGACCAAGTAAGACCTGTACTCTTCCCAGAGTGGAAGGATCCATTTTTAATATACATCTGTATGTGTATGCCTTTTAAATATTTCTATCCTGACATTTGTGATTTTTGAGTCAATGTCATTGAGAAAAATTTATAAAAGAGGACATCAGGAGAAGGGAATAGAAAAAGGAATAAAGTGTCAAAATAAAAGTGAAGTTTTATTTATGACAGAGTGGACAAAATAAAATTGAGGGAAAGCTGGCCTAAACCTCTGGTTGAATTGCAGAGGGCATTTGCTGGGATGCCTAACAAGGGTGGCTCACACCACAGATTTTTGCATGAGGTTATCATATTATATACGTGGTATTTTTATTTCTTCCCATGAATTAAAAATCATGTTGAGATTTCAGTTTTACTTATAACCTCAGACCCAGCACCTTTTCTCTATAATGTTTGACCTTTCTTCCTAGCTAAGTCCCCTTATAAATTATCTGTTTGCAGTGGGGAGAGGGTTAAGTCAGGAACCTAAAAACCCTCAATCTGGAAAAGAGTATAACTACTTAATAATTCCAGAAGTGTTACAAATCATATGCCATTCAGAGCTTTTCTACCCTCTCCTGGGACTCCTCTCTTTTCACCTGAAAGATTAGGAGGTTGTATATATTATGTGATCTGTCTCGGTCCATAGAATCATTTTAAGTACCCAAAATAGGCATTTATTCATTAACCAGGATGGACAGAGGTTAAACCTCGTTTCAACTAGAGTAAATCTGATCATGGGCATTTTCAAAAGCTGTGAGAGGAGGCTAAGGAGAAAATTTTGATTTGACAGGGCTTCTCCCAATCACATTCAGATCCAATTCTGATCTATTCTTTTTTTTTTTTTTAACTTAATGGGATTAGCCTTGTTTAAAACACCAATAATCTTATCAAAGGCCCTCCAGGGGAGGGCCCTGTAGGCTTTGTAATGACCTTAATCAAGTATTAGCCCTGCCCTACAATTAACCCCCAACTCAACAAAACGTTTGTTCTCATCTCTAAACCCAGAGAAGGGGATCCCTGGGTGGCGCAGCGGTTTGGCGCCTGCTATTAGCCCAGGGCGCGATCCTCGAGACCCGGGATCAAATCCCACATTGGGCTCCCGGTGCATGGAGCCTGCCTGTGTCTCTGCCCCTCTCTCTGGATGACTATCATAAGTAAATACAATTTTAAAAAAATAAATAAACCCAGAGAAGTTTTGAAAAGGCATCAGTTGAGGAGGAAAGGGGAGCTTATTAGGAATTGCAGGCAGATCAGGCAGGCCCAGCAGGCCTGGAAGAGGGTCCAGGGGAGGGATGTTTAGGTTCCCAGGTTCTCTCCCAGACGTAGAAACAGGAGTCACCCAATAAATGTCTGAAAGAGAACAAGAAGTTTTAATTTGCAGTTATTCGCTTTTTTTGTTTCCAAACGTGGAGCTAGAGCTTTTAGATGGCCAAGCTTACACTTTGTCCAGAATAAAGAAGGCCTTCTACATGCGACAGTTAAATAGGAATATTAAAAGAACGAGAGGGAAGGTCCCTTGACCTATAAATCCTCCATCCTTCACATATTACCTCTACATCCTTTCCCCTAAGGAATTACGTAATTTATTAGTTATTGGACGGGAATAAAAAGAAACGATGAGTGGTTCTCTTTTTTTCAGCGGCTTTACCTGGTAAAAACATATTAAATTTGCAAACGCGCGAGGAAGAAACAACGCAGGAAAGAAAATTTTCAGCCGAATAAGAGCCATAACCTGTGCGTCCGTGAAGACGCTCCGACGAAGAGCGAGGTTGCACTGGCCAATCAAAACATCGAGATGGTAATGATGTCTTCTTGCCCCGCCCCCATGCTGACCTAATTTGGAAAACCATCAGGGCGTGCTGTTCTCAATCAGGTCCGCAAATATCCTATTTAAAGGGCTGCGTGCCGGCAGAGGAGTCACTTTTTCGGCAACCATGTCTGGTCGCGGCAAGGGCGGGAAGGGGCTGGGCAAGGGCGGCGCCAAGCGCCACCGCAAGGTGCTGCGCGACAATATCCAGGGCATCACCAAGCCCGCCATCCGGCGGCTGGCCCGGCGCGGCGGCGTCAAGCGCATCTCGGGCCTCATCTACGAGGAGACCCGCGGGGTGCTCAAGGTGTTCCTGGAGAACGTGATCCGGGACGCCGTCACCTACACGGAGCACGCCAAGCGCAAGACGGTCACGGCCATGGACGTGGTCTACGCGCTCAAGCGCCAGGGCCGCACCCTCTACGGCTTCGGGGGCTGAGTGCGCCGCATCCGCCATTTTCGTAAACACCAAGGCCCTTTTCAGGGCCGCCCACGAAGTTATTTAAGGGGCTGTTGTGCTTAGTATAAATCGTTACGGTTACGGAGGTTCCTCCGTATTACGTACAGAATTTCTGCATAGTATGATAAACGTTAACGCAGGGGTTCGCACATGATGGGATAGCGCCACAGAAAAGTAATTTTTTGCAAAATATTTTAAGAAAGTCCCATTATGTAAAGTGAAGTGGCTTCGGGGTAGAAATGGGGGAGTTCCCACTAACAATTGGTTTAGAACGCAGGGCCGTAAGTGTCCACGGCACACCAGTAAGTATGTCGCCGAAGGTACTTTGGGGACAAGGGATGCTTGGATGATACTCCGGTGTCCGCGGGAGGTAAACTTTAGGGGCGGGAATTTCAGGGCAATTATTTTCTGTTGGCTAAAAAGGGTTGAATAGCTGTCCCTGGAACTGTAGGAAAACCTTTAACTTTTTTTAGCCTGCTGAATGCCAGGCGCTCGGGATCGCAGGGCCAATTGTGGACCGAGTCGAGCAGTGCTCGGGACCTGCCGGCGGCCTGGCGGAGTCGGGTCAGCCCTCTCGTGGGCGTGGCCGCTGCACTCGGGACTTGAGGCCTTGCCAGGCCAGTGAGGCGTTTCCCGGCGCTGCAGCTCCAGCCTGAAAGTAAACTGGCCTCTATACCCAAGCAAGCAGGGGCTGTGGTTGATTTCTATACAACTTTAAACCACTATGTTTATTCATTTCCCATTGTTGTCAGAGGCCCAATTAAATAAATGAGTTTAGAAGGCTAGGCCCTAGTGAGTTATCTGTAGTACAAACTTGTATATTAAAGATTATATATGCAAGTCTGCATATGCAAGTTTTGTACTGGGCTTTGTTCAAGGTTGCCCCAAACACCCAAGGCCCAAAATAAGATCAACACCATGAATTTAACATAGTAATCTTTAGGAGTGCTAAATTCCCAATTAAGTGAAAGCAGAAAAACTAATTTTGCTTAAAATGAGAAATGCTTTAACTTGGACCTTGGAGAACCTAATAATAGCTTTTGTGATTTAGTTCAATTTGGACCTTAACTTGGCAGCTGCAATATTTCCATAAAGGTTTACTATTTCTGTTTGTGGAACACAATTTGGACAAGCCTACACACTCTCTTCATAAAATACATAGAATTAGGGGCACTTGGGTGACTCAGTGGTTGAATGTCTGACTTGGGCTCAGGTCATGATCCCTCAGTCCTGGGATGGAGTCCCAGATGGGGTTTCCGCAGGGAGCCTGCTTCTCGACCTCTGCCTGTGTCTCTCATGATAAAATCTTAAAAAAAAAAAAAAAAAAGAAAAAAAGAAATTACAATTGTATTAGACTAAAGCTATTATCAAGCCAATTTCTTAAATGTGACTACAGTATTTTGGGAATGAGGATGTTATTTCAGTATGCTTTCAACTGTAAACTTATTACTTTTTACCAAATGAAAAACTCCCTCAAGGACTTAAAATCCCCCAGTCCAAATCGTTATTTGATTCCCAGGTACTGACCCCCAGAAAGTTGTAGACAGTTACGAAATCCTACTTAGTACAACAGCACCAAATAAAAGATCGAACTGCAACGTAACCACTCAAAGAAGTCTGGTTTGTGCAGAGCTGACCTCCATGCCTTACTCGACCTTAAGCATTAGTCTGCCTGGAGAAGTATGGAGGTTACCCAAGGCCATGTGCCCTACTCTATAGTGTGCAGCAACCCACTTTTCAACGAGGCAAAGGACTTTGAAATAGAAGACCTTTTCTACTTCTTACTAAGAGACCTCATGAGCGACCGTATAGAAACTTCTACAAGTTCAGTGCCATGCCGCTTTTAAAGCACTTGGAGTGGCTCTTAAAAGAGCCTTTGGGTTCATTAAGGGGGCTTGCTCTGGCTCACTTCTTGGACACCGCCTTCCGCGGGTTGACCTTCTGCTGGTTGAGCCTGGGCTTGGCCGCCTTGGGTTTCCCAGTGGGGGCCTTGCCTGGGCTCTTCTGGGGCTGTTTGTCTTTGGCACCTTTGGCCTTCCTGCCACTACAAGCAGCCTTCTGTGCGCCTGCACCCCCGGGCTTCTTGGCTTTGTTGGTCTTGGCAGCCTTCGGAGACTTGGAATCCCTGGACAAGACCAGCCTCTTGGTCTTGGTGGAAGGCGGCCTCTTGACCCTGCTCTTGGCAGGTGTAGGAAGAGGAGCCTTCTTGCTGAGCTTGAAGGAGCCCGAGGCGCCGGTGCCCTTGGTCTGCACCAGGGTCCCCTTGCTCACCAGGCTCTTGAGGCCCAGCTTGATGCGGCTGTTGTTCTTCTCCACGTCGTAGCCGGCGGCCGCCAGCGCCTTCTTGAGCGCGGCCAGGGACATACCTGCTCGCTCCTGAGACACGGAGAGGGCTTCCATGATCAGCTTGGACACAGAGAGGCCTGGGGCCTTGGGGGCGGCCTCTGGTATGCCCCCTGGTTTCTTCCCTCTCTTCTTGGCTGAGGGATTCTCCATAGAAGCCAAAGCAGTGCCAGCTGCAGCCGCTGGAACCGTCTCAGACATCACAAGAAGACAAGCTAACGGCACCAGGGCACCGGCCCTGAAAAGCGTGAAACGTCTCAGGACCTCAAGCCCTTATATAGGGCAGGGCGTGCTGTGATTGGTTCATCCCCCAGCCTCGCCCCACCCCCCGGGGAAGGAGCGTTTGTGTTTGTTTCACCCCAAAAAATGGGATCCCACACAAATCCTCTGGGCAGCATCGCCCAGGCTTTGCTGCTGGATGATCCGTGGAGACTCGGGTTTCCCAGGCCTGTTCACTTTTTCATGAGAAATGATCCCGAAGGCCAAAACAATTACAATAAGGCTCCCAATTTTCAGCCAACCTTAAGGAGAAGAAGAAAATATCCCCTTTTCCTTGTGAATTTAAAAGTAATTTTGAGGACGAGGCTTACCTTAGCTCTTCTGAGTGGTTTTCCAAACAGCTGGCTTGCAATCGGTGGAGAAAATAAATTATTCACACACTGATTTTTTATTGAAAATTATTTATGTATGTGAAGCAAGTAACACAGACCTCTTAAATGTCTCACTGTGTGCTTAAAAGATACTTGTAGAATTGCCAGAAAACTGCAGAGTACGACTTTACTTGGGCAAACACAATCTAGTAAACCATAATCTCCAGGCATGTGGGTTGTGATTTAAACCAGGTCCCCCATCCCCGTGGCTTGATAAAACACCCTCAAGAATGCAGTAAGTAACGTGAATCTAACACACAATACCTCTGTAGCCCAAATCAGGTCACCTCTGTGGCTGGTGTCCTCAACTGAATTTTGCTTCCGATTTCATTAAGTCAAACCCCGCCCCCACCTCAACCCCCTCCACCTCCTAAATGCCAAGCACACACACAGAGTAACTCTAAGAAGGGGGTCAGGAAGTGCTCAGTGAGAACTAGAGACCCAGATCTCTAGGAAGACTGGGCTGGCAGATGTGCCTTCGAAGCAGGAGAAGAATTATTAGAACAGGATCCAGGATACTTCTTTGAGCTTGTCCTAGGACTTGTCTTTGTAAGGGATCCAGATGGGAGTTTATTCATCATGGCCAGACCTTCCAGGAGGATATTGAGAGAGCAATGCAACGTGGCCAAAGCTCAGGCTTCAGCAGAGGAAAATCCCAAAAGGACCATCTTGTGGAGACCCCGAAATGTTTGCATGAGAAATTTGTTATTCTACAGGCGGGGGAAGTTTTTAAGAAGAGGATCTGTGTAATTTTTTTCTTGTGGTTGTCTTGTTTTTTAGATTTTTCACATAAAAACTAATTATTGGAAAGGAGCCAATGTCAGAGGTTGATAGTCTGTTGTAATAGTCTCAAAAGAAAGACAAGGGCTTCACCTAAGGAGACAGTGTGGGGAAGGAGAGTAGGTTTGAAATATTTGTGAGGCAGATATCAAATGATGAGACTTTCCAACTTCTGGTTGCAAAGTGAGGTAGCAAAGTCTCTGCCTCTCTTTGTCTCACGGGCACATGCTTATATACACACCTGAAACAAAAATTCAGAAAACAATACCAACTTAAGTGCTTGCATTCTGATGTATTATAATCTATTTTTTTAAATGCTGGTTGCAAACTGTGGGATTGATTTCCCAACTAATGCACTAATGTGACCCTAAGTTTGAAAAATCTTTCTTCAAAGGCAGGTTACAGGTGCGTCTTACCGAGGACCCTATGTTTTAACATAGGGTTTGGTTTTTCTAATCCTCTGTGACCCCTGAGTACTTGTACTTAGGAGCCAGGTTGTGAAGTGGATTGATCCTTATAATTATAGGCTTACAGAATATAGCATTCCATTGCTTTAAAAGTAACAAAGAATTGAAGGGATCCCTGGGTGGCGCAGTGGTTTGGCGCCTGCCTTTGGCCCAGGGCGCGATCCTGGAGACCCGGGATTGAATCCCACGTCAGGCTCCCGGTGCATGGAGCCTGCTTCTTCCTCTGCCTGTGTCTCTGCCTCTCTCTCTCTCTCTGTATGACTATTGTAAATAAATAAAAAAAAATTTTTTTTTTAAAATAAAAGTAACAAAGAATTGAAGAATTAAAAAAGTTATTACATTCCATAATTTAAGAGCCAGAGAAAGAACCATGATTCATATTTTGCATTAGAAGTCTTAGAGCTTCCATACACATACACACATAGTGCTTATTACTCTTTGTCAGTCATCATCCCAAGTTTTTCCCCTTCAAAAAATGAAAAAAATATAGAAACTAACTTTATAGTTAAGAAATTGAGTAACAGAAAAGTCAGAAAACTTGCCAAAGTTCTTAGAGTTAAGATGCAGGATGCTTTCACTTCAAAAGGCTCTGGCTATGTACATCACCCCTGCTGGGTCTTTTTTCTTTTTTCCTTCCTCTTAATATGTCAGAACTGTTGTTCATGTAATCACATTTTTATAGCATTTGTGTGTGTGTGTAGCAATACTGTGATTTTATTTTGGAAAGTTTTCTATTGTGGGAATGTCAACCTTCTTGAACTTTCATTATTGAAATAATACTGCTGTAAACATTTCCTTAGATCAACTTTCACTAGCCTAACTTCTGAACTTCTGAATAATGAAGTAAGGAAAACAGTCACAAAATAAAAGAACTGTTTTCTTTTTAAAATATAATAAATTTATTCTCTCATGATATGGAAACTGTACAGCCCATTTTTAATATTAATTTAACATTCTAGTGCATTGTTTTAAAAAATGTTTACTCTAGGGGCATCTGGGTAGCTCAGTCATTAAATGTCTATCTTCAACTCAGGTCATGATCTCAGGGTCCTGGGATAGAGCCTGGAGTCAGGTTCCCTACTCAGCAGGGAGTCTGCTTCTCCCTCTCCTTCTGCCACTACCCTCACTCATATGTGTGTGTGTGTGTGTGTGTGTATTCTCTCTCTGTCAAATAAATAAAATCTTTTAAAAATGTTTACTCTATATTTCTCTATGTATATGTGTTATGTGACTAATATAAAAGTATCTATAGATTTTCACTCTGTTCAGTGAGATTAGCAGACATTCACCTACCAACCTGTCTACCCTACAGGCTTCTTGGATTTTCCTGGTATCTAAGATTTAGGCCTACCTTTTAAAACTTATCCCTTTTTCATTTGTTTCCTCTTTTTGCAATAGCTATTTTTGAACTTTGTATTTGGTTTTCATTTATGTTTAATAAACATTATTTCACACTAAACCTTACCTCTTTTTCAAATGATCTCTTCATTTTTGAATCATTCTATTTTGATTATTTGCTCAGCTATTGAGTAATTATTTTGTTTGTTTTGTAAAAAGGGCATGTGTACAATTCCATGGTTTGTAAAAGTTGTCTCTACAATCATCAGGTATTAAATATCAAATGCAGAGATGATGCTGTTCCATAAAATTGACATTTTTTAAATAAAGTAATAAATATTACTTGGTCTGTAAACTAAAGAACTTACCATTTTCCTTATTCGGGAGATAATAGTTAAATATACACAATGACAACAATTATTTGGTGCCAAAATCAGTGCCCAAAACAATAATCTGCCCAAGGTTTCAAGACGGAGAAATCCCTTTGAGAGGGGGCAGGGAAAATGTCCTCTGTTGAGTCACAGGACCTGAATGACTGTTTCCACTTCTCTTTATGAAACAGCACACCTTCAGAAGGAGTTCTGGAAACTCCTCAGAAGACAGAGGAACTAACCCACTGCCATCTAATTAGAAAGCACAGGAAGAGACAGACCTCCAAGAAAAGCTATTTGCATAACTGGAAAACCCGTGGAGGAGCCATTCAGGTCATCTTTTTTTTTTGTTCTTCCTGACATCCAGACCTCTCTTATTAGCTATTTATGTGTAAACAAAGACAGGTACTCATTTCATGTGTTTCTTAATTTGTGACCCATATGTATAATGCAAACACCATAAACTTATATCTAAAACCTTTCTGTGAACAGGTCATCGCTAGGTGACTGAAATGATTTTCCCAAGCTACATGGATGCTAACAAGCCAATCTTTGAAAGTAGGGAGACACAAGCATTATCACTTGGAGTGAATTTTCTGTTGCACTTTAATACAGAATATGGAATCACCAGAAAAAAAGCAGGAAGTCTTTGTTTTGAATTTCCCAATAATGATCTGGTAGACTCAGATGGCACATGCCTATTTCCCCTTGATCTTTTTACCCCTTCTTCCAACCTGGGGTGTAGATTTGCCCTCCCAAGAAGTTAAAGAGAACCATGAAGTTGAAAACTACACAGAGGATGAAAACTGCATGATTGAGAGTAAGGATACTAGAAGAAACCTGAATGCTTGGGTAGAATTGGCAGTTCCCCACGGACCTTGACAAACCAGCTGAGCTCTCCTGCTAATTGGGAAAAACAAATCTCTTTTGGTTAACGCACTATTACATGGATTTCTGTGAAAGGTAGCCCAATACATTCAAAATGATTCAGTGGATAGTACCTTTCCATGAGCAGGCAAATTTCATGGGCCTGGGATTTTGGTCTACCATGCATATTACTGAATATTTCTAGAACAATGCCTAGTGTGTGGGAGGGGCTCATCTATGCAGACCTATTGGGTGGATGGATGGACATATAGTCAATCCAATTTCCATCTTTATCTCCTATGTTTCTTCTATTTTTAAAAGAATATACATTTTAGGGGTGCCTTAGGCAGTTAAGCTCCCAACTCTTGGTTTCAGCTCAGGTTGGTATCTTAGGGTCATGAGATCAAGCCCAGGGTGAGGCTCCATGCTCAATGCGAAATCTGCTTGAGATTCTCTGCCTTCCTCTGCCCTCCACCCACCCTCCCTCTCTCCCAAATAAATACATCTTTTAAAAATATAGTAAAAAGGAACACCTTGGTGGCTCAGTAAGCATCTGCCTTTGGCTCAGGTCATGATCTAGGGGTACTGAGATTGAGTCCCACATTAAGCTCCCCGCAGGGAGCTTGCTTCTCCCTCTGCCTATATCTCTACCTCTCTCTGTGTGTCTCACATGACTAAATAAATAAAATCTTTAAAAATATATAGAGTAAAAAAAAATAAACATTTTC